AGCTAATGTGGATACGTGATAAAAGTTTCTCTATAAAATCCATTCGCTATAAACGACTTTCGCGATAGAAGGGTTTTAGAAGTTCTTCGCGATAGATTGACATGGAACTATAATATAAAAATAAAAATGTAATTAAAATTTATCAAATCATTGAATTTTTTCCTCGATCTCGATGATAATACCTTTTAAGAACATAAAAGAGCTATTAACATTAAAATATAAATCATTTAACACTAAATATCGCTCGGCTAAAACTACCCCTTTATTTATGTATTACATTTCCAATCATATTTCAGTGTGCTTTCACTTTCCCTAATATTACTAATTAGTTTTTTTAAATAAAATAAATGCTTGGACAGGTCTAAAAAATTATCACGTAGATATTTTAGCTTCAATACCTTTATAAAATTAAATTTACTCATAATTTGTTTATCTGTAAATGTCAAGAAATAATTTTATATCCGCTAGATAACGTCTTTAAATTTTTAATTTTTTATTATAAATATAAAATAATATTTTTGAAAGCGTTTAATAAATTTTGCCATATTCTATCATGATGACACTAAAATATTTACGATCTTTTTATAGTGAGAGATATTTAGTAATAAATAATTTATTATGTAATTAGCCGAGAGTTATTTAATAATTAATGGTTTATTATGGGTTAGCCGCTCAGCATAGCAGAGCCATATTTAGTAATAATTTACTTCTTTTTCGCTAAATTTTAATATTTTTTTAAAATATATTAAATAAGTACCATATACACAAATTAATTACCCTTCAACCCCGTCAATCTTGACGGGTTATTAACTAGTATATTTATATTATATATAAAGAAAATAAAAAATTTTAAATTTTGGGTTGAATTTTATATGATATATTTAGATATATGTGGAAAAATAATCTCTAGATATGGCGCAAGACCTTAAATCTAACCCTTTCATTTTTGTTTTCGAATCCCATACAATTGTTTATAATCATTTTTAAATTAAAAAGCATTAACTAATATAAGTTTAAAAACTTTATAAATTATTTAACCATGAAAAAAGATCTTTACAAATACTCTAATAAACTTTTAAATAAATTAATACATATGTGAAATATATATTTTTTTTCAATTTAAAACTCAATATATTTTTGTCATATTCTAAAATTTATGCAAATTACACAATCCAGTAATTGTTTAGACTTTAGATGACAAAATTGTAGATAATATTAACGAATGTCATAAATTTATACATTAAATTTTATGTTCCCTCAATGAGAATATCATCTGTATTTATTCATTATCATAGCGCTTATAACAGGTAACTGATTTCTGGTCCAACCATTTAAAATATTTGTGTCAGCTATTGTAGGCCACCATGTAATATTGCCAAAAATATCTTTCTGGCTATCACTAGCTAAACTCCAGTTTCTTTTCAGCTCCCTTCCTAACATAACTGTATAACTCAAGCAAGTTCGAACATTACTACCTCGATACCATTTCTGATTAAGTCATCGTATTTAATTTATTATAATGGTAATATTGATCTGGCCAAAACCGACAAAATATTTTTTACCAAATCCAATGTTGTAATTACTATAGTGAATATTGCTCTGGTATTAATAGAATGTGTATGAACTAGAGGTGTGGGTGTGAGAACTTATGAAGCTTAAGTAATAGGTTGACTACATATTAGAGAGTGAATTTTTTTAATGATTTGTCTTTGAAATAATTTAAAGCTTGGTACATTTGAATAGGTTGCACTGTTGGAACATTCTAAGTGAGTGAATCTAGATTGTTGAGATAGTAAATAATCTTTAATAAGGATTTAGATGGACAAATTTCTCCTTTGGTATGCGAGAGTGTATAGTAAAAGATTTTAAAAAATATGCATCCATGAAACTGATGAATTAAGGAACAATTAATTTGGCTTGGTCGTTTGACAAGCAGTGGCGTCACTAGCCCAAAAAACTACAGTGGGGCTCAAATTTTTTTTGCTATTAATTTTGAAAATGACCTTTCTTTAGTTAATAAATTTAAAATGTCCATTCATTTAAGTATTTTTAAAAAATATCAAGATTTTCAGGGAGGCTCAATTTTTTAGGAGACTTGAACCCCTATGCCCTACTTCCAGTGAGACTGTTGACTGGCAGTGTGTGAACCTGAAAAGCTAGATAGTGCATAATAAACCCTATTAAATTTGATCAGGAATTCAGAAAAAATTTTGTTTTTTAATGAATAAAACAATAAATAAAAAATTCATGACACCAAAATCATAGGAATAAAACTGAAATGGAGGCGTTTCAATTTTCTAATTTTGAAATACATATTACCAATTAAAGACAGTTTAGTGGATATTAGAGACGTGATGAGATTATACATTCATTTTTTTAATATTTATTTATTATTTTTATTCAAATATAACTATTTCACTTTTAAAAAGTTATACATATTTATCTGAACAGAAACATTCTATATTTAAAAAAATATATTGGATATACTAAAAAATTATTTCTAAAAAAAAGACAAGCGTTTATAGTAAATGAGTTATATTCAAGAGGTTCGTTATAACGCAACGTTATTTCTAAAATTAAACCAATAAATAGGTTTAAATTTATAAATGGAGCGTTGTGATGAAAACGCTATGATAATATTTGAAAAATATAGGCGAAACGATTATAAAAATAATACTATAATTGATAATGCAGGGGATGTTGAAAATTTTTTAAGAATTCCCACAAATGTAGGAATATTAAAATCAATGAAAAGGTCAATGGCAATATTAGATTGCATAACACGTTGGTCCTCAATTTGTATGATGCTATAACGATTGTTAAGTTTGAAAGATTTCTGTAAAGATTTTATTTTAGGAGTATATGATATCATTTTGGAGGGAGATTGGTGCCAAATAAAGGTCCTTACTAGTGTATTAATTCCTTTAAAAATAACAATTAAGATTACAAACAGAACAATTAGGTTTATCTGATTTTGGCACATATGGATTAGATGCCGATTAGATTTAGAAAGATTTTCTAGTCCTTTTTTATACGAATTATTATAAAAATAAGAAAACATGAAAATTCGAGATCAACAATATTTACAAAATAGTGTACGCTTCTCTAAATTTAGACCCTCGATATCAAGTTTTTGAGTATTGAGCATAAACAAATGGCTAAACCCCATCTTAAGGATTTATGGCATACGCAAAACTCCATTATTTACAATATATTGGAGGCTACGACAATAATAGCTACTGGTTGTAGTAATATTTATGATATTGATAGCAACATTGATGATCTTAAAATTTTAATTTTAGATAGAGAAAAAAATGCAAATTATTATCATAAAGAAAAAAGGATCAAAAATTACCTATTACATCCTTAATAGAAAAGTTATATCAGAAGTTAAGAGAATAAATAAGGATAAAAATATTTTAAAATTCTGAGAAGAAAATTCTTCAATTATATTCAAAATTATATATCTTGTATAGAATCGTCATGCGGCCACGCAAATACATAATTTTTGTATATTATAAAGATAACTATCTATTTTAGGTAAGTGCAGAACGTGGGTTTTCATCTTTGTGAAATATACGTTGTCTAATTTACGTGGATATCTCAAGGCTGATATTTTACGAGATATTATGATTGTGCGATTGAATAAAACATTTAAAATGTAAATTATTTTATTTTTAAATTTTTTATTTGTAAATTATAAATTTGTAAATTATAAATGTGTATAATATAATTGATGTATAATAATAAATGAATAATAAAAAGTCTTATTTTGGGTCAATTTTTTTTGTTCCCTGAACCTGGACCCTTTAAAATTTTATTACTGTACCCGAACCTGGGACCTAAATCCTTTTTTTCGAAGGGTTCACATCCCTGATATATTCTATATTTGTCTGCAAGAAAAGTAATCAATAATTCAAATTTATTATTAAAAAATAGAATAATTAACTAAAGTTTAGAAAAGGAAACATTTCAAAAATACTTATAAATATCATAATAAGGTACTATTTTCAGTTAAACTGATTCCCGAAAATAAATAATCCGAAATAAAATTTTCCTATAGATGAAAAACCTCGTGGGAAAAAAAATCACCATTCAAAAAATTCCAAATCAAATTGTATTAAACCATTTTTTAAATGATCCTTACCCTATCTATAGCTTGGCGGCCCATAATCCTAGCCCAGTTCAAGAGATTAGATTCTCAGTCTAACATCTAAAATTCTACTGCACTTAAAAAATGATAATTTTAGTAACATCAATATTATATTTAAAAAATGAAAAAATAGGAGCTGTTTTGCCCCTATTTTCCATTTATCTAGCTATATCTGCCTTATAAAAGTTAATTTTAAAGTTTTAAAACCCTAAAATATTATTATCCTTCAAAACCAATGACAAAAGTTAAATGATAAGATATTATATAATGGGGGTTTGTAGAGGCATAAATTAACTTTTATCAAATTTTGGTAAAAAGATATATTAAATATTAAAAAATTTATTATTGCTTTTTAACCTAAGAAAATTTTGAAAAATATCGCAAACTAGATATGGCCTTCACTAGATAACATATTTTTATAATTTATTTACGTTTCTTTTTATAAAATTTAGATTTGAGTTATTGAAAACAACTATTAAATTATTAAAATGTAACTATAATTAATTAAGTAAAATCTATTTTTAGTTATTAATTATATTTATTTGATAGCCTATACATTGAATTTGAAAACTTAAATATATTTATTTTAATAATTTGTAAAAAATAACCTATTCAGCTCTATATAAAACTCTATCTTTCTTCCATTTCCAACGATAATTATTAAAAAAATTTATAAACTAATGTTTTATAAATGGAACATATAACATCTCCTAGTTTGTCTTATTAATACTGTTTTAAAACGCTTATTTTATTAAATGATTAGCCCAATAAAATGTGGTATTCTTGGTCCTTATTCACACTATTTCATTCGGAATTTAATAATTTTTATTAATAAAATACAATGCATAATTATTAATCTTAACATAAAATAATATCGTAAAAAACGAGTAACATTTAAAAATGTAAAAATGTGCAAGTTATTTATTATAATATTATTTGTTAATAAATTCCAAGAATTTTGGATTTAGATAGAAAGCTTAAGTAGCCCATAAATTGATTGATAAAGGCATGTTATAAAAATACAAGTTGACAAATTTTGATAATAGTATCAGAAATAGGAGAGTGGTTGGGGGGGGGGGTAGATATTGTTTATATGATCATGGATTCTCTTAATTATTTCTTTGAATTAGGAGGGCAATCAGCACAACGTGGATTTTGAGAATTTGGGCATCTATTGGCACAAAAATAGTCAAATAATCCTAGAAAATTTTTTTTATTAATTAGTTAATTTAATGATAACTTTTACCAGGATTTCTGTTGTATCCGTCCTCATGATGAAAATTTAGCCAAGGATCGGCTTCCCCTATAATAAAATATAAATTTAGATGATTCCACAAAATAGAGTTTAATGACAATTTTGTTTGATTTTTCTTTTCATCAGGGATCTGCATAAACAGTCACAGGATGGCTAGGGGTTGGCAAAAAATTTTGAATATTCATATTATTTACCTTTTTTTCTTCTAAACTCGAAGCTTAAACACTTTACCAAATTTATATAGGTGGTCACAAATTATTTTATACGTTAAAAACAGTATATTCTGTCTTTTTTTATTGTGTTTTTCAACCAATCTTGTAATAACATAATTTAAGTAAAATTTACATTTATATTAATCCTTTTTATTGTTTGTTAGATTACTAATACCTCATTTAATTTATGCTTTATTTCGATAAAAACGGGAGTGTTGGTTGAGTAAAAGAAAGATAAAAAACTTTAAGATTTCAATATAAATATAGAAAACAAGTTTATCCGACTCTACGGTTATAACGGTATTAAGCCAGGATAGAAAAATGGTGTAATTCATACGGGAAAGTAAAATGTTATTCAGGATTATCTAAATTTAAAAATATATATATGGTAATATAAGGAATCTTTCCAATATGGGTTGATAATGACATGTTTTATTATAGTAAATAATGTAGAATAAATATAGCGTTCAGATTTCCTACAGCTTATCATGCTTATGGATAATATACTAATAAGTTTGTCCAAGAAAAGTATAAAAAAACAAAGATTCAATATAAATATTTGGATGTTTTGGGGGAATTATTTGCACATTTACCAAAAGTTCACATTGTTTTAAAATCTAAATCAAATATCCTATCTCATTAATCTTTTTCAGAATAATTTTTGACCCACACATGATTTTGAATGATTTTATTAGTCCCAAACATAATTATATTGGGCGTGAAGGGGTTTAGAAAAATATGATTTCTTGAGAGGGCATGATTTAGAAAACAATTTTTTTACCGGCTGTAAATTTTTTTCGCAATACCGTGAAAGGGAAAGTAGACAGTGTTAGGAAATACCAAAATACATTCCTTTTCTAAATAGAATTTGTAAATATAAAGTAATAATTACCACTAGAAAGATAAGGTAATGTTGCCAATAAGAATATTATTAAATAAGAAGCTAACATTTTTTTATATTTTAATGATTTTTATGAAAAGTAAAATAAGTAAATATAGGGAAGAAAATTTACTTTATTTTATATAGATTAGAGTATTTTATTTTTACATTATTTAAAAAAATTTATTTATTTACAAAAAAAATAAGGTATTTTAAGACATTGACTAATTATTTGTAATGAAGACTAAAAAATAAATTTTAGTAAAAATTTCCTTATAGATAAAATATAACCTTGATATTATTTTGTATTTGTTGTGTCCAAAGTTTACAATAACTATCGAAATTTTAAAAAACACAAATCTAATCCATCTTGTAATTTTTTTTTTTTATCTAAACAACACTTTTATTGCTATATTAGGTTTATTTAAAAAAATATATTATAAAGGTCATTCTCTAAAAACAGAAATAGCATTACGAATTTCCAAATATTTGTATTTTTTATTTTAGAAAAGATAAAAAAATCTTAGGGTTTATCATGTAATTGCTCTGATTTTGCAACCTATAAATACAAAACTTAATATAATTAGTTAATTTAGAGTATTTTCTATATCTGACCCTTTTTTTGCAAAAGGAAGAAACTCATAAAATTTTAGATTATAAATTTATTTAAAAAAAGTACTAATGTTAATCATATGACCATTGCAGGATACATAGTAGGGTAATAATAATTTCGGTTTTGTTAATGATTAGCCAGAGAAAACCACGGCCTACAAAATTATTTAATAGTAATCTATAACATTATAAATTGATTGTTTCTCTTTCCTTTCCAATATCAAGTAAAGACCTATGTTAGAAGGCACTAATGACCGTCGTCTATATGCCAGACGTAGAGTGAAAGTGTGCACGGATGTTTTAAAAATGGCATTAATTCTTCCACAAAAATGTCAGTTAAATATTTCAATTATCAAAATCAATAAAATATGTGTTGATTATATGGCTTAAAAAAAATATATTAATATAGATGATTTGCTTATAAAGTAGTGTATTCATTTATTACTGCAATAAAAAATATTTGTGAATCGATGGTTTCAAAAATTCATAAATTTCAATCCGATCCTGTACTGGATTTACATTCATGATAATTTTGAGCTTGTGTATCATCCACCTGTTTTAATATTATCATCAAATCTTTCATTTGAGGTATCAATGGGTTTAATTTTATCAGCATTGTTTATAACGGTTGCTCTGGTAAATTTATCACTCAACTGTACATGTACATTACTTTGGGCAAATGTTTCTTCAATTATATGAACCAATGATGTTGGAGATTCATTTTCAAGTGGCGATGTATTACTGGCATACCATAGTATTAGATCCTTTACAATAATTTCATCATCTAATGTAGGAGGCAAGTGCAAAGAATCGGAGTTGAAGGTGATTTCTAATTCAGTCATCAGAGTAGGTATCTTGATTGTTCTTTACTCTGTTCATTTTAATCGTCATTTTCCTCTAAATCTTCAGCAACAGTTTGTTTCTTCCTAACATTGTAATCGGTGTAATGGCTATTCAATTCTTCTTGTGTCCAAGAGGTCGAAATTGTATCTGTAATGTATCCTAATAATCCAGCGCTGATTGATAATATTTCAGCTTTTACTATGGATTACTAACTGCCGATTTCTCTTTAGAATCCTTATTTATTGCATCTGTGTCCCAGTCAGAATCAATATTCTTTATACTTTCTCCCCAACAACCACTTCCCAGTGGTTTAGCATTATCAACATTAGAACTAGGGGTTTCTTGAGCCTTTTTACTTTCTCCCCAAACACCACTTCCCCATGGGTTAACATCATCAAGATTAGAGCTAGCTGTTTCTTGAGATGGCTGAGCCTTTATAACCCCCCCTCCCAAGAACCACTTCCCCAAGGATTAGCATCAGCAGAATTATAACAAGGTGTTTCTTTATGTAGTTGAGACTTGAAACAAGTTGCCTATCCATCACCACCATCCATATCAACCCATCATTGTTATTGCTACTATCCCCAAAACCCACATCATCATTTAGACAATTGATTTCTATTATAGTCTCCTTTGAGAGAGTTTACACCTCTCCAATTATAGCCGCCTCTGCCCCTTCCTCTTCCCCTGAATCCACTGCTGCCAGAAAAATTATTGTCGTTTCTATTATCTTGATTATCTCCTTCTTTCGTCGTTATTATTGTTAAAACGTGAGTGACGTGCCACTGCCAAAATCATTCCTGGCTTCAAACCGGCTTCGATTTCCTGCTTGGGATCTACCGACACCTGGGCAAGCGGGAAATCCTTCTAACGCTTTTAATTAGATTTAAAATCTTTTTGCTCAAAACCATTGCCCCATTCATTGGTTAAACTCTTAATGTCGTTTTTTTCGGGTACAAACCTTTTAGTTTCCTGGAAATTCGAGCTGGTATTCCTATTTCTAAAATATGGTTTAGCATCATCGTTATTGTATTGAGGACAGTCAGCCTCCCCCCCCCCTTTTTATAAACAAATTTAGAAGAAACATTTCTATTTTTCACTGGGACCTCCATAATATTATCAGTATAAGAAGGTTCCCTTGTGGGCGGAAATCTGGCAGCATTTTGAGAAGATTGAGTTACATTATTAGGAACCATGACGCGTAGCTCTTTATTTCCCATGCCATCAGAAAAATAATTTGCCAATCTATCTCGATTGACTTGTGTCTGAACATCCTCTATGCATGAACGATTGTAATTGGAAAACTGTGGCGTTGGGAAAGATCCCATTGTGAAATACATTGCAAAATAATTATGGTAAGAAGTTTGGACAAAATCGTTTGTGCCGACTCCAGTCAGAATAATTGCAAGATTGGCTGCAATAAAATGCTTTGTTGCAGCAGGGCAGTAAATAAAGCAGGCTTCACGCAAAAAAAACAATTGTTGATGTTCAGCGATGGGGGTGGATATTCTTGAGGAATATTTCTTGCTAAATTTTGATACCCATTGAATGGTTACATGATCATGTTTTGTGGATTTAGACTATTGCTATTGTAATCAATCATTTCATTATTTTTTATATTATTAAGTTTATTTTCACTAGAAAATTTGATATTCATGTAGTATTTCATTTGGATTTTTTATATTTCCATATAAAAAAACCTTAGTATCACATGTTTCTGCAAAGCTATTTTTTACCAGGATTCAAATTTAATTTGTCAATAGAATTTGTCTCATTTAAGCTTATGTTTCTGTTGGAAATGAAATAGTTTCTCTTAAAGTAGCTTCATTTTTTGATTTTGAAATTTAAACTCTTAATCTTAAATATGGCTTACAAGATTCACAAATTTTATTATTCAATAGATCGATGGCTGCATAACACTCTTGTTCAGTCTTATATGATATAAACCCTAATGGTTGACAATCAGGCTGTTTTGCAGGCTTAATACGAATTTTTATAACATTTCCAACTTCAGAAAATACCTTTCTCAAATCATCCTCTGTCCATTCCGTTGGTATTTTATTTATAAATAACGTAAATAGATCATTATTCATTATATCGTCCATCTGTTTATATTTATTTGACTTGATTTCCCTATTGTTGACATATGAGGAATTATTAGAATCCTCCTCAAACTGAAAATTCGGTCATTTTTCGTATAAGAACTACTCATTGGTTTCGAGTATCCCAATATATCATTATCCCATGATGAATACATAACTCAGTTTCTGAAATTCAAACTACTAATTAGTGCGCCCCTCAATAATAAAATAATATATTTCGAGTTTGAAAATATATTTATGTTATATTATTACATTAAAGGTATAATATGCTTAAAATTATAGGTAAAAAATAATAAATAAATTATATTATACAAAATATATTTTTAATATCGAATAAATATAATGTCAAGGGCATCGCTAAATTTTTTTGTTTGGATAGGGTATACTATTATTATTAATAGTGAGAAGAGTTTATTGGCTTAAAAGCTAGACAATTTAGTAAAAAATTATTTTGATAATATAATTTATAATTTTATTGGCTAAAAGTTTATATAATTTATCAATTTTTTTAAAAATATTTTCCCTATGCGATACAAATATGTTTATCCAAAAATATACTATATTTATTGGAATAATATTGGCTTAATACTATTATTCAAAACAAAAAAAGATAAAAATTATTCTAATTTAGTGAAAATCAAGGACATTGGATACTTAAAAGGAATATATTTTAGAATTTTAGTTAGAAAAATATTTCGATACATTTGATAACTGTTGTATAAAAGAATACTGGTTTTAATTTATTAATGCTTTATAAAATGTAACAAATTAATTCTCTATTCCTATGTGTATGTTTTATTTATTTTTTTAAAATAAATTTAAGTTACAAATTATTTATTATGGCAATCCAGATATTAATTGCATTTGCATTCATTTCCGTCTCGATACAATGCAGTATAACTAAAGGTATATCTAATATAAATTAATCTAAATGAATCTTTTACTTAATTTTAATCCCTATTTCAAATTTATATATTAAATCTCTTGACCCTCAAAACAGTATCTAAATAAATAATTTTAAAAAGTTCTAGGTCGTTCTAGTTCCTCTAACAAATATTCACAATTCAAATAAAATACAAAAAGAATTTTATACGAATATGAATATTTTATATTCCTGATAATTTCTAATATATATTAGACGCGAGAAATATGGAGTAATAAATGAAATCAGCGGCACTTTTCAGATCTAAATAAAATAATATTGGATTAATCTTAAATAAATAAATCATCTTCTGAATCCTAAAAGTATAGGCTATGAATTAAATATTATTTAAAATATTTTATCTTTAAAATTAACGAACTATCTCATGACAAACCCTCACACAGTTCACAAACTTTATTAAATATCATTCAGAATGATATTAATTCGTGTTTTATTATCCTGAAAAATTGCCAGATTAAAATAATAGGGTTTATAAGATTTTTAAAAAAGCTTTAATTTTAATCTAAAAGGTAAAGTCCTAAATTATTTTCTGAGACTTAGTATTTTAAAAAACACATTCTCCTCTGTTAAAATTAAGAAATACTAAATATTTTCCATATCTTTTTAAGATATTCATGTATATATGCAACGTGCCCGGGTTTTCCTCAATCGTTATTAATAACATTCTTTAAAA